CACTCAGCAGCAGCTCACACCTTCCCACCATGGCAGGCTCAGTCCAGTGCAGAATGCAGCCAGGCCATGCTCACAGCCACCAGAGCACACAGCCCAGCAAGCAGCAGAACCACAGGAGGATTGTTCTCAGGATTCACCTCTACCCAAGAAAAACAAACACTGTTCTGCAGAGGGATTAAAGAGTTCCGGCACAGGTACAGCTCCAAACATCCTCTTAATGCAAGCTATACAGACCTATTTATGAATTTAAAGGTAAATCACCTGAGTAGGGAAGAAGCAAAGATCCACAAAGAAGACATGCCTCTACAGTTCGTTGCACTTCAGTACAGGGAAAGCTTTAGGATACATGTGTCAGACTGGTCCTCAGGCTTTTCCTGGCCATGCCCCAGTCTAGGCCAAACTCTCCCATACAAATCACACATCAGAAAGACAGTGCAAGGACAAACACTGTGCATCTAATAGGGTGCAAACAGATAGGTTTTAAAGGACAGGGATTAGGCTCCAGATGCACGCACACACAGAAAAAAAAAACCCAAAAAACAACAGGTAACCTTTTCTTTCCCCACACTGGAAATTCCTCAGCTATCATGAAAAAGAATGGCCTGGATCAAACCATCTGTACATGGGATTTGATGTCAGACCCCAACCAATGATACCTTTTGCTGCAATTTGGGATCTTTCAGGAAACAGCAGAAAAACCTTTTATTTCTCTCTCATGTTTCATGTATCAATTCTCCCTATCCCACAGGGTCTGTATGCCTATCCCCTTCCACTGCATGTTCCACACTCCCACTGTGCTCCTACGGCTACATCCAGTGGCTTGGCCAAATAATGTATCTAAACCAATTCTCACCGAAATTTCCTCCACTAGTGTACCAGCCCTGAAAATTGTTTTTCTTTCTTTAAACTCAACAAACAGTACAACAGAYGTCCCTAGACACGCAATCCCCTAGAAGGGTCTAATCCTGGAGCTGCAGTCAGCTGGTGACTGTCTCCATCCCACCCACACCTCCTCTCGCCCTGAGAGCAACATCAACTGAAATGGCACCGACCCACTTCACTGGATTCTGGCTTCAGGCAAGCCACCCTGAAACCACAACCATCCATGGACCTTCCCCTCAGCTTGAGGTTAGGACAACTTTCTGCTGAAGTGCTCCTTAGCCCTCCTCCAGCTCCAAGCAAAACAGACTGCAGAAATAAGGGCCCTTGAAACCTCACTGGAACAAGGCAAGTTAACATTGGTGAGGTGCTATATGCCACACACTGCACCTTGAAGCATCACAGCCATGAAAAACTGTTGAAGAGTTCTTGCAAAGATGGGCTGCTTTTCACCATTATTAGCCCAATGAGTGTGGCAAAGGTCTTGAAACAAATGTCCTTCAAGAGTCTACTGTAGCTGCAATGCCACAGACTGCAACCACCTCTAGTGATGTTTGCTTTAAATTCCATTGTTCAGSGTTTCATTAGTGCCCTTTTAAGCAGGAATATGCAATCATGGGCTCATTTCACATTCCAAACTACCTTCCCCAGAAGTTAAATGCCCTTCTGCCTCCTGCTTGTTTTCCCAGGCCCCCAACTCCTTCTGCCCAAGTGCCCTTCCTGCAGCGAGGCGCTGACAGCACAGGGTGCCCAGGCACACCAAGGAACTTGAAAACAGAGGTATAACATCAAGATTCATAATTCTGCACCGTGTTAGACACATACTAGCAACTAGGTCTGCATTTTAGGTACTCGAGGGTACAACTGCATCTCAGCACACAATGACCTTGTCACTGAATTTAGGCTTATGCAGCAGGAACCCACACGACCTGGAATGCCTGTAGCCAGCTGCAAGCACATCCTTCTACACAGCCTACAGAGAAAGGCAGCCCAGCACTGGGACTGAGCAGCTCTGTTCCATGCCCAGCTGGGCACAGAGCAGTCACTGATGCTTTTCCCTGAGAATCAGTGCTGCCTTGGGCACMCACTCCTTGCAGAGTCAGGTAAGAACAGCAGGCAGGGCCCTTGTTCCACTCACACCCTGGTCTTGTGTCAAACATGAGCTTATYCTGCAACCTTCGAGTAGCCAGTACTTGCTGCCTGAGGCAGCTCAGACTGGTACAGTGGGGTTGAAATACTCCCATCACACCCTCCCTGTCACTGTCACTGCCCACTGCCCACTGTGTGCCAGGGAGTGCCATGAGGAGGTGAGAAACAAAAGCTCACTTTTGTCTTACAAAGACAAGCAGCACAGGGAGCCGCTGTACATAATGGCACTTACAGGGTTCCAGCAGGACAGAGTATTGGACAACATCTTTCCATCCTGATTTGACAGGCCATTTTCCTTGCCTCAAAACTGGACAAAAATCCAAACAAACCAACCTCCTGTATTCCCCAARTAACTGCCTTAATCCTCTTCCCACCTCGAAATCCGGCAGTGTTAGTGTTCTTATGATCCCGGTAAGAAAGGCACTCAGATTCTGTATTGATTAAAATATTTAAAAGAAAAACATAAGATGTGTAAGACAGACGATCTTACATCCATCCATTCAAACGCTGGGAAACCTGAGTGGTACAACATTAGGTGGATTTTCAGCCTCATCAAAGTGTGCTGTGCAGACCCGGTCCATGGAGTTCCTCAAYTCAGTGCCCCCACAAATGCTATGTGAATTAGCACGCACGAGTCCGAGCAAGAGTCTTCGCTTTAGGACCACAATGGACACTTGCACTTGTGTTATCACACCCTCCAACTGCCCCAGCATAGCTCAGTCTGTCCCTGTGCCCCAACTTATTGGCAAATAACAACYCTCTGCTGCTCTCTGCACATGGCACCAAGTGCTGCTGGCAGGTTGGGGTGCGGCTGCAGCACCTGCACCCACGGGCATCAAGCAACATTAGTACGTGTGGCCCCTATGCCTTCCCCTGATTGTCTTGCTGGTCTTCCTAGCATTTTCTGCATGACTGCATAGAAATCAGACTTTCCAGTCCTTCTGCAGTATTTCATCTAAGCAACTCACTTACCTGAAGCCTTTCATCAGGCATTTTTCCCTTGCCTCCTGAGAGCTATGGCAGACTCAGACCTCCTCAGGCTCTGCTGCATGCTCAGCTTCATTCTAGTGCCCATCTTATCCAAGCTCAAGCATATCACTCTGCYTTTGGTATGGTTCCATCTTCTACTGTCCCAAAAGAGCTTTGTTTAGCATCACCAAGATCACCAAGGTAAGCAAGATTGTGTGATCTGCCGGATTTTTGTACCAGGATAAACCTATTTAAAGACCTGGACCAATAAATCCCYCTTCACAACAGCAAGTAGTATTGAAATGTCAGATGGAAATGAGACCCCAGCAATATCACACATCATCCTAAACCTCCTCTCACAACGTCAGCTCCTTTCTGTCCTAGCAAGGATCATGATTTCTTGGGATATGGGAAAATTTATCATTGTAGGAGTGGTGAATACAAACATTCAACCATCACTGTTTTCAGCAGTCCAAGTCTGGGCCACAGGCCCATCTTGAGATACCAGTGTCCATAAAGCACCACCCTACTGCCAGGGAACACACATACCGTCTTTGTATGTCAGGCTGCTGGCAAACTTTTTGCCATGGCTGCGTGCGTAGTCCTGGAGGTTGGGGGCACTGGAGGAGCCTCCCAGCACAGTGGTGCTAAAYAGCCCGGTGCACTGTGACCCTGGAAAGGCAGGGAAGGTGTTAGTATCACATATCCACTGCATGCAACTACAGGAAAGAAGGGTTAGTCAAAGGATGAAGAATGAACTGACCACTTTGCAAGCAATCTCAGGGAAAAACATGACACCTGGAAGCACAGGGAGACTGTGTTCTCCAATCTAAATTCCACAGTGCYAAATGCACAGCAGGTAGCCCAAATGTCAGCACCAGAAAAGTTCCTAACTCGATCCCAGGGTTTACTTCCATTTGGCTTTCTTGTCCTGACCTAAGAGAAACACCTTCACCCCTTTCAGTCAGCAAAACTACACACCGATGTCAGAACAGTAAGGATACCAAACCACTGATGTTCATTTCGCAGAGTTTCATTGCTCTGCTCTTCTGCMTTTTTTCTGTGAAAAGCTCCGTTTTTTGTAGGACACGGAAAGGAGGAAAGAACTGTCTGATCCGTAGATCAGGCAGTGTGGATTCATCTTCTGTCAAACAGGCAGGGAAAGCAGTGTGTGACCGGAGGGCTCACGTTCACAAGCTCGTATTTCACAGACATACTTTACTCAGTCATGTCTCACTGCTCCAGCATTGCAGCCATTGGTCCATCACAGAGCCTTGCAAAGCACCAGATGTGCACACAGCATGGAACTTTGCCYACGCGCTGTCAAGGAACATGATGGCATGCAAGATGCAGGGCAACCTGGGGCTTTGGCTTTTCTTCTCCAAGGCACAGTGGTCTGAAGACTGACTTGACTGGTGTGATATTTAGGGAACACCAAACATTTGAAAGAGGACTCTTTCAACTGACTGAGGAAAGCAATTGTGAGTTGATACAAAACCTTATTATGAGCCAGACACAGCCATTGATTGGCTGTAAATTCTCTGCTTAACTGTCTTGCTGTGGTATTTTGTATTGAGAATACTGACTGCTCAAACCAACTTATTCCTACAAACAAAAGACCTCCAAAACCAAGCAGGCTAATCTGATTCCACCCTGTCTGCCACGGCAAAAAACCTGCAACACTGCCTAATAGTATTTATCTGAAACACTGCAACTGTTACTGCTGTGAAAGAGATCCTGCCTACACTGGAAGCAGCTCTTGATTCTAAAATTCATCACAGCATCATTTAGGYTGGAAGGAGCCTGAAGCTTCTTTGCCAACACTCCAGCAGGACCAGCTCGGATCCAGCTTGCTAGGGTTTGTCTAGTCAAGTTGTCAATACCTCCAAGAAAGGAAATTTCATAGCCTCTCTGGGCACCTGCTCTAATATCTGCACATTCATGGTGGGGGAAAAATTGATTCCTCCTAGCTAACTGGAATTTTTTATGCTGCAACTTGTGCTCATGGGTTCTCAACCAAGCAGCACAGGGCTTTGGGAATAGTCTCCAACCCCTCTGCAACCTCCATTTAGATGGTGAAAGAGCATTAAGGTGTCCAGCCCTCCAAAGTTCTAATCTGAACAAGCCCCGCTCTCAGTTTCTTCTCCCATGCACTCGAATGCTTCAGCCCCATCCATTTCCAGTGCSCTTCAGCTGGCTCACAATCCTGACACAGACACCCTCCAAAGCCCAGAGAGCCCAGGGCAGGCCAGCAGAGCTTCAGGCACTCCTGAGAGCTGCACCCAGGGAAAAGSCAAACCCCTCAGCYSAACAGCAGCACTCAGCTGATGAGCCAAGCACAGTGCCAGCCTTCCCTGCTGTGAGGACACACTGCTCCTCACATCCACTCMGTGTTCTTTGGGACCCCAGCTCTGTGTCTGCAATGATCATTAAGTCAGAGCTTCTCAGCAGAAAACATAGAGATCCTGAACATTGTTCATGTACGAGCTCAGCCTGAACTGAGAACATCTGCTCCTGGGGTGACCAAAAGGGTTCTTGTAGTGCTGAACTGCAGCTTCTCCCCCACGGTAACACTGCTGGAAGCTTTCCACAGCACAGATTAACACATACATGCCCTTGGACATAAAAAAAACCCCTCTCGCTTGCAGGTCATTGGTACACAGGCCATAGAAAACTTCCTCCTAAATTTCCTCCTAAAAGTTTCCTGGTGAGTGCTGACTCAGCATGAACTGGAATCTGTCAGAATGCAAATGAAATTTCATCATGCAGTAGACAATATCGTGGAAMTAATTGCTCTTCCTTAGTTTAAATACAAACAGCAACAAAAACCACCAGATTAATCTACTGACAGATAAAAACGGAACATCACATTTTTAGGACTTTTTATCTTCAGCAACCTTGTGCCATTAATCATTAAGCTGAGGATATCCCAGTGTTTCTGCTGTCCTGCTGCAGGCAGAGGCATTTTGCTAGTGCCCTTAMGCCAGAAGAGAATTTATGAAGATGACTCTATAGACAATGGCAATCGTCTACAGTGAACTCCAGGAGACCACTGTACCCAAAGTGATCACACACACAKACACACAGACACACACACATATCCTAAAGAACACAATGGCCATTTGGATTTAAATGTAGCAACACTTGCTAGAAATTACTGTATGTGCTGGATGTTTTCTGTACWTTTAATTTTCAGATGCTCATTAAATGAGTGTCAGATGTCTAAATATAGGCATCCTTGATTTCCCTCTGGGAATCTCAGCACAAGGCTTCATGCCACYGGCAGTGCCTCACCTCTACTGCTCAAACAACCTGCAGTGATTTTACCTCATTTTAAAGGGYTCTTGTAAGCAAATAAAGGTACTGAAACCTCTCTAGGCTTCTCAAGCTAGAAGCACAAACACGATGGCAAACAATCCACAGCAATGCACTTGGCGCTGCCCAGAAAAACATGTCACACTCCAATGCAAAGACAAAGCATGCTGCAAGCCACCTATTTTCAAAAGAGGCGTTTCATTTTTTAAATGCCAGTAGAGGCACCATTCTGGAAGGTATGGCAGCAGGGCAGGCTCTTGCAGGAGCTCTCTCCTGTTGCCTGTTCCTGCATGCTTACACATTTGAGGTTACACTTGGACAGACGTTCCATTTTCCAGAGATAATGACAGCCAGGCACTGACAAGGTCAGGCAACAGGAAGTACGCTCAGCTTCAGAAAACTCAGAAACAGCAGGTAGTGCCTGAATGAATCCCCCCATAACACAGCTGCTGAGACAAGTATTAAAGCCAAAGTTCAAGCTTCTATCAGTTCTGTATTATCTCTTACAGAGAGAACACATTTCAAATCCTAAAGAGGGAAGAAATTAGATTTCTGAAAAACAAGCATGAAAGGAATCAGGAAGATTCCTTGAAGAGCTTGACTTGCACAGGTAAAGGGGCATTGTTCTTCATGGCAGGCCTTAAGTGAAAAAATCCTCACAGAAACATAGATACTCAAATCACCAAGGGTTGTGCATGCTGGTGTGGTATAACAGGTCTCTCCTGCTCAATCCTTCTGTGACTGCAAGACTCCAGAAAGGAGAATGATGGGCTGAGCATCCACCTGGAGGTCTATGTCATAGATTAGATCTATCAGTTCCTACTCAAGGTTTAGTCTCTGCAGAGCTTCATAGTCAGGAGAGTAACCAACATAGGCTTCCCAACAAGGCATATGAAGCAAGATTCTGAAATTAAACCTGCCAGGATCATACTTCAAATTTTGTTGTCAAGAAAAAGTAGTTCACTGTTCAAAGATGTAGAAAAGCAGTCGTCTTCTCTATTGCCAAAACAGACATTCCTCAAAAACCTGGTTAAGGCTGTAGTCCAAGGGCTGTAATATCTGCTTTACAGAGCACAAGCCTTCTGGTAGTCACACATTCCAAACAGTAAAACATAGCTGGAATACCATTTGATGTATTCAGTAATTCTCCRAGCAGATGCACCTCCTTGACTGTGTGCCATCTCAGAAATTCCCACATTCATCCATATGGACTCACAAAATACCCACAGGTTTCTTCAAGACTAAGCAAGGCAGTTTGTCACAGCTCACTGAATCTCACAGTGGTACTGGGAAAGGCAAGAGATAAGTGAAATAATAGATTCAAAAATCACCATGGCCAACATTACTGTCCCTTTATGAAAATAACATGCATCAGCCATTCCTATTTAGAATTTTTCAGCTGGCTGAAAGCATAAGTGGCAGACTCCAGGGACACATCCTAACCACTCAGAAGAAAATTCCCTTTCCTTGGTAAGAATTAGATTCCAAAGAAGCAGCTCATTCAGAAGTGSCAAAGAAATGATAAAGCTTTTCAGAAGTCTCTTGGCTGCAGGTTGTCCATGTAACAGAGTGATGAGTCGSAATTGCTGCAAGTCCAAAGCCATGCCACCATGCTAAGATGGYTTTAAAGAAAAGGAAGTGCACATGACTTGGCATTATCACCTCCTGTCTGCGAGACACAGGYTGCACAGCCATCTCTGAACCTCATGACAGCAAAGACCACTTTCCCAGTTTCAAAAYAGACCTTGTTTTAGCAAAAATATTTCAACTGTTCAGACATAGTTTAGGCCAAGATGACAGGGAATGGAACAATCAAGGACAGAGAATATCAAGTGCTCTTCTCTTCCACTGGCTGTTATAGGAAGAATGGCTGACCAGGGACTTCAGTTCAGTTAGAGAGCTATCAAACATTCTGACACACCTGCTCCATACAACAGATCTGTATGAAGCAAAGGTAGAAATAGAACAATCTCACATGAGGAACAGCTTTGCAAATAAACTGATGTTTTGCACATTAGTTCTCACGTAAAATTATTTCTTCCTACTAAGTCCAGAAATGATGTAACAAATGCGAGCAACAGAGAAGCAGAAAGGGTTGCCTGCAGTTTGCCCTGTTGCTCCCATACTGTAAAGGATGAAAAGTGCATCTTCTGTAGCTAGCAGCTGAAGGAGAAATTTGWACACAAAAGGTACCAACGAAGACAGTGTGAACAATGGTCTCAACAGTAACACAGAGAGAATACACAAAACACAGAGACCATCAATACAAGGAACTCAAGCCAGATGTGTATGTGGAGATACACACAGATGCTCATGGAAATACAGAGCTACAAAGGAGCAGGCTAGTTACAGGTCAGTTACAGTACCTAAGCCACTTTGTTTCATCTCAGAAGACTGCCTGGAATAAGTGCTGAAGAGGCGATAACCTCCTGATTTGGAAGAAGATTCAGACAGCACCTGCAAAGACAGACAAGTGTAATTAGCATCATGATCCATGTTACCCACTGCTCTCAGAAGCCTTTATGCATCAATTGAAGGTAAAGAAAAGTACACCTCTTCCTTCAAATCACCACTTTCAAGAAGCACAAAGGTAGTTATATCCTAAGATTGTGACAGTGAATGCTTAATTTTAATTTCAGAATTTTGCTGGATTRTGGAACAGTGAAAATTTGAAAAGTATGATGGGACTCATGTAGTGAGCATCTTGTCTCCCAAGACTCTTGCTGAGATCACTGAGGCATAGACTTCCTTCTCTAGCAGCAGGAAATGGTATCACCTTTAACTTAGTATGTGCCTATCACAAAGAGCCTGTGAGTGCTGCACGCAAAGGTGACACGGTGGGTAACACATAGCGATGGCAGCCAGCTAATCAATACCTCAAATCTTAACTGTGCTTTCACTGGTTCAGAAAACTGATGCCAAAAATTGCCTGTGAAATCCCTCCAAAAGGAGGGGCAGTTCCAGASTACTCTGAAAGTAGCAGTCACCTGCTGACTGTGACACTGGCCTTGTGACACAGAACAGCCCGGAAGGGGAGACAAGACAACAGCGAAATCAATTTTGTTACTTTACCAGATCAGTGAATGGGACTGTTCTAAACCCTGACAGTTTAAACATCCTGGATGACTCCACCACTGAGCAGGGACTCCTGAGCAGCGTAAGATCTTAGATGGGATGAAGAAATGAGAAATGTGGAGATGCTCTTGTGAAAGGAAAAGGCTGAAGCCTAACAGAAAGGGAAAGATGTCACTATAACTAGGTGGTGAAGTTGCATGTAATCTCACAGCTGGCTACACCAGTGCCTTTACAGAGCATGGAACCAAATAATGTTTGTGWTTCTCGAGCATGTTCTTGCTTGCTCTTCCTCATCAGTTGCTCTGGCCTGCATTCCTGTCCTTCCTCAATGAAGAAGAGTTTCAGATGTGTGCCTTCTACAACATCCCTCTTTACCCTCTGCCAATACTTCCCTAGAACCAGCTCAGACTCCGGTATGTTAAAAGAAATGCCAGGAAAACAAAACCAAATAAGAGGCCTTTGCAAGAAGAAGGAAGGGCACCGACAGCACAGTTACCTCCATGGATCCCGTCTTGCGGTTCCTGATGAGGGGCGACCTTCGCTGGATGCTGACCGGCTCCGAGGGCTGCGGGCACTTCTGCTGAGAACCGTCTGCCTCCTCGCTGCCTTTCTCCTTTGACAGGTCCTCCAGGCTGCCTTGGTCTGCCTTCTTGTCCTCGTTCTGTTGGAAGGAAACACTGCTGCCTACAGGCACGTGCCTTTGCCCGCACTGCCCCACGCASAGCTTTGCATCTCCTGCTCTGCCGAGCTCAGCAGCCACACAAACAGCCCCAGCACCGCCCTGCTGAACCCAGACAGGACAAGGACACAAGCTGCAGGCACTGCCAGCTCCTCAGGCAGAGCAGGACAGTGCCCGAGTGTCCCCTGGGGCTGGTGGCTCCTGCCCAGCTGTGTGCTCACCTCTGCTGAGGCCGGCCGAAAGCCAAACCCCGTGGGGACGTTCCTGTCCTCCTCGCAGCCTTTGACGCCAGGGCTGAAATGCAGCTCCACATGGAAACGCTCCTCTGAAGAAGGGTCCTGTGGACACATGTCACAGGGAATAAGTAAAGAACCAAACCCAGGTTATCCTACCATCAGTGCAGCCCAAGGCCCCACCCTGCTGTGCTGGCCAGCACACATCCCAGGCACATCCTTTGGAGTGAAAGCAGAAGCAGCAAGAAACCATCARCAGAATGGCTCCAGGTTTGCCTCATCCAAAAGGACAGCCCTGATCAGCACACAGCTGAGGCATTCTGACATTCTGATTGTTGTTTTTTGGGACAACAGCCACAGAGGAGTATAACAGATTCGGGCTCTATGTGTATATATATACACACACACCACTAAACCCCTTCTGACTCACTCCTGCTGCAAACCCAGCACATGCTGGGACAGGGGACACTGGGTCCCTCCTGAACTTTAGTCAGGCTGCTCCAAGATTTAAATAACTGTCTCTAGTAATAACTTTTCATTAAGCTTTTTTTAAGGAAGCCAGAGCTTTTACAGTATCTGGCACTAATGATATCAAACTCAGAATTTTTTTCCATCTTGACTGATTGACACCACAGCACTTGAGAGCTCTGTCAGACGTTTTTTGACAAGCATCACTGTAACCATTAGAAGCTCACACCAGTTCTGTGAATACAAGGCTCTCACTCCATAGGGTAAGGGGCTGCTCCCCTCACTGCTACAATCTCCTGCAGCACAGACCCGAGTCACAAGGTCTGGGGATCAGGACATGCAGTTCAGTGCCAAACYTACTTACAGTCACCACCTTCAGCTCCCACATTCCAGCTGTTTATTAAATGATTCTCTTTACTTCCTGAAGATACCAGTATACACTTCCCTAACTATATCAGCACACCTTTAGAATAACAAATAGTTTATGGATGTGGAATTTCTGGATATTTTTTTTAGAAATATTTCAATAACACAGCCAAATATCACTAGGCTTTATTTATTTTTTCCTACTGTTCATTCACAATTAATATTTTAAAACATCAAATCATTTTGCACTAGGAAATTCTTTAAAATAGTCGGTATTAATTACATAAGTTTGGTATTACTGCTCAGGGTGACATTCTGCTCCACTTAGCAAGCATTAACTGGGTCATTGCCTCCCACTTAAACCAAAAACTAGCGGTAGTGTTAATGATCCATCAGTTCAYAAGCAGGGAGAGCTCAGGTTACAGCCTTGGAACTGAACTCATCTCTGAGGATTGTGCCTTGCAATGTGGCAGGAAGCATTGCGTCCTACAGCTCTATCCCTCACCTTGTTGTTGTCCTCGTAGAGCATGATAACAATCTGGGTCATGTAGTTCAGCTCTGAGATAGCACTCAAATAGTCCATGGCTCTCTTCCACTGCTGGTCTTTGTTTTCCTGATATATACACATAAACAGTCGCATGGGATAAGCAACAGCAGACACCTTGCAGCATTCAGCGAAATGGGACGCGACAAGGTAACATTGTCAAGACAAAAACACCTTTCTTAATTTGCATGAARAAATGACCTTGCAATATGGTGGGGTGCTCGCAGTGAGGAGCAGCTGACAGCTGCCCGTGTGCAGATCTGAGCTGCAAGCCCTTGTGCCATGTTGACTGGAGATATGCAGAGACCACAGCAGGGTCCCAAACACAGCTGTTCTCAAACTACACAAKGGAGTACAAGGAATGAACTTGTGCTAAATAAGGGACCAGGTGAACTGCTTTTACCTGATGCCAAACAAAGAAACCAGAGACAGGCTGGACCCTTGCACTGTGCACAGCAAGGCAGCCCCCCTTCAGCGCCTCCAGCATGGCCAGGAAATGGCCACGCACGGGGCTGGGGGGCAGCTCACTGCACCCCCGGACATGAACTGAACCCTCCAGTACAAATGAACCCAGCTGCAGCCCAATATCCCTGTGCTGGCAACATGGCACCTGAGTCAGGGAATAAGGAAGCATCTTGTTCAGTGAGTGATTCAGAGGTACTTTTCTGACCACTGTCTACAGATATGCCAAGCTGCCACAGACACCAGAAATCACGCCTGCTAAGCAAGCCCAAACTCTCAAGGAATTTCAGACCATGCTTAAAAATGGGAAGATAGATCAGAGAACCTCTTGAAAAGACTAAAGCAGAACTTTTCTCAGGGTCTGCATGCCAATTAATTCAGGAAGCAGGTGAAGAGAGAGCAAGTGAAGGGTGAGTTGCAYGAATTAGTCCCCTAAAAATGTGTCATCTGCCTTTCTGGTGGAGAGCATGTCCTGTGCATTTRCAACCTCAAGTCAGATTCCTCTATAAGCAAACTGATTTTATTGACATAGAATTGATATAAAGACAATAAATTACAGGACAAARCTCTCCAAATAAAGGGTTGCAGGAAGCAGAAAGTAAGAAATTCACTCGGCCCCATTGCCTTATACCARTATTCTTCTAGACAGGTCTGCTCACCTGAAACTAGCAGGATAAATCTTGGAGAAAACATGTCTCTGTGCAAGCAAGGCAGGYRCTGARGAAGAACAACGTTCCTACATGCTAGAAAGGCAGACACGTGCAGCATGCAARCAMAGCAGAGATGGAGCTGAGCAGAGGCCACCSATGCACAGCGTTACTGGGGAGAGCTGGCTCAAGGGGCAACCTATAAACCGTCCACCTTGGAAAAGGCTATGGAAAAAAGCAGGAAAGCTTACTCTGTGAGCATTGCTGGGACACTTACATCCAGTAGCCCCCCATAGCGGAAGATACTGAGCAGGGAGTGCACATGGCTCTCACTGGTGAAGTACAGYCGAGTTCGAACGTGGCGACCTGGTGACAGAACTCCTCTGGAGTACCTAAACCAAAATCAGCCCACAGTAACTCAGTCTGCCAGTGAATTGCCGTCTATCACACCTGAGCATTTCTGTATACATACGGTATATATGCAGTGACATAACCCCACACTAAGAAACGTCAAAGGCAGCAGGACTGAACAAACAATGAGAGCACTGGGCACAGGAGCAAAAAATTTCATAGAATCCTAATGGAGACACATAGTAGGCAGCTTATCCCTCTGCACTGGCCCTGGAAAGGGATGAGGCACCACCATCCAGCTACAATCGGTAGAAGCCTTTGTGGCCCTGTGCTTCTGGTCAGCAGTCTCAATGTGCCTTTTCCATTTGCCTTCTAGTCCTAGGAGCACCAACATGCCTTTCTACTGGACCATCCTCCCGTACATGCTCAGTACCCCCTTCCACAACAGCACAGTCTGCTGGCATGGGAACCACCCACTGCTCCACAGCTGCCCTCCCCACCGCCAGCAGCACAAGCCTTACAAGGGATGTAGTTTGTTGACAGACTCATCTTCATGAGTTCTTTGTAGGTCCAACTGGATCTTTTTAATGAGAGGAAGACAAAAGCCAATAGCAATCTCCAATTTCTCTTCCTTATTAATCCCATATTCCTGCAGGAACAAAACAACAGACACTCTGAGCCCTGGTTCTTTGCCACATCCCCACGTGAAAGGCCACTTAACTTCAACAGCCCCATCTGTAGCACCACTGATTAAGCAAGGACAGGAAGAGACTGTCTTGTAGTCACTTCTTGTAGTTTTTTTTCCCCACATATTGCAGAGGGCAGCAGAGGACTGAGACTCTTTGAAGAACCCCAGTTATGTCTGGACATGACTGTCAGTATCCTTCCAACAGCTGAGTGGTGCAAGTACCATGAGTGAATTTCTGATCTCATGACATGCAAACTTATATCCTGACCTAGCATGAGCATTAAAACAACTGCTGTTGGCAAAGATAAAATCTGCAGGGCTACAGTGAAAACAGCCAGACTGCATTTTACCAGCAATACTAAGAAAGTTTAGAAGGCCACTTCAGCTCTACAGGGGCAGCTGGACCTTGCTGGTAGAAGCTCATCCCATATAAATGAAACTTTGCCTGAAGCAACTCAACACTGCAAACTGAAGAAGTCCTAGTCTGACAAAAATAACAAACTTGTCAGAACTTTAACACAGAAATCTCYCTTCACTTCCACAACCCTGCATGTGGAGGATGGAATGCTGCTGTAGCGCACGCACGCACGCAGCTTGGAGCTTGCTGYCACACACAACAACAAACATGGAAAAGCTGCTGTCTCAGCTGCTCATTACTCTGACCCTGCCAGAATCCTCAACCAGGAGCCCAGCCCCGCCACATTATAAGTTATAAATGGTTTTGGCCTTATACAAACCCTAAGATCTGAGAAACACCCTACTGCGACATGCTGCCCTAGGAGCTYATGTGTAAGAGAATCGAGACAAAACACAAAGGGAGAGGGTCAGAAATTGGCACCACAGGCAGTATCACATAGGCTATACCTGGGGTATGATCACATCTGCCAGGGCTTTGGAGAGTTTGAAGAGTTCAGTTGTGCCTTCGAGTTTCAGTGCACAGTTGTGCTGTACATCATACTTGATGCAGTCATAGATATCAGGGATCTTGCTGATGTCATAGCGCCCATTCTTCATGCGGAAATCTCGCTCCAGCTTACTCCAGCGTTGCAGCATTAGTTCCAAAGTCTCACTGTGRTAAAGCTGCAGGTCTAAACAGCAGAGAACACCAAACCAATTTCACATCCTAGAACCACAGGATCACAGAACCCTGGTTATTGCTGCAGAGATTTCAAATGACAGCTACAACTGACTTCTYCCAGCATGAAAAGGCTCAAATTATTGTGTCACCCCCTGGATTCCCAGTCTGGAAAAGCCACTGGACCTCTTGCACAGAGTTTTAACCTACAGCAACAGGATACTTCTGAAATGCTTGAAAGAAGTGAAACAGTTGCCTGTGTTCTTACATCTGCCATGTATCTCAYGGCATGTGCCCAGGATGCCTTTGTAAAACCTTTGCATTGTTATTAGGAAAATTYTTAGAGATGAGCAAATCATGACTGAAAAACTTGCTGTTTACAGGCTTCAGCAAATGCCTGAAAAAACACGGGCATACCTCTCCAGAACATACTGCTGCTGTTAACATTCACTCTCAACCAAGATGCACATATCATTTCCTTTACATTATAGCTCTCTTTAACGGTAGTTGAAAGTGGAGCCTTCCACATCAATAGCACATAAGAGAATTACACTTTACAATTCCTTTGCTACAGACAAACATAAGCACTTAGTGGTGTTTCGGAGCTCTGAAGGTAYAAGGACAAATGAATCCCTTCCAGAYTCTTTCCAGTTCTCTTGCTCACCTGCAGATTTTGGGTCTTCCAGACGTTTTCGTATCTGGGAGGTGAGATTTTCAATCAGGGTGAATACCTGGTTGCAGACCTCAACTGGGTTCTGGATGAAGTTCATGGAGTTGAGCAGAGAAGCACTGCCTGTAGGTGCTAGCTGAAAGCAGATTTCAGCAGAGATTAGTTAGTCATCACAAACACAAAATGTGTGCCTTTTGCAGTGATACTGCTTTCTGACTGGGGACAAAAGCTGTCCTCCCAGCTGAGCACAATAAGCTGGCCTATTCCTAGGAGCAGTAAGGCATGTCTTAAAAACTTCCTCTGGATCAAACTCAGAGGGAGCAAACAACTGCTCCCATCAGATTAGAYTTCCCTCTACCCACAATATGCACTCTTGTCTCATTTGGCTTCTGTGCTTGAGCAGAAGGGCTTCGAAGACATTTTAAGAATCTCTCTGAGGTGATAAATATGTTCCTTGATGGATTTCAGTCCAGTAATTACATTGCAGAGCCTGGTAAAAACAGGATTTTGGGGACTTGCTGGAGAAGCAGCGACAATGCTTTCAATGGTTCCTGTGCTGAATGCAGCCCAGGCTCTAATCTGCAGCTGACAGGACACACAAGGATTTGTAACCAAAATGTCTGTTCACACGTGCACAGAGCACGGATCTAGAATCCAGTGAGGCAGACTCCCTGCCCACAGCAGYTGGGATTGATCTGAGAAGCATGCAGGAAACAACAAGAGCACTTTTAGCACTCACAAGAACAAAGYGCACGAGGAATTCTAAAGGGAGAGGAAGGCACCATGATCAGTCTTGAAGGCGACAACAGAGCAACACTGAGGACTGTCACKTGAAACAGGGCAGGGGCTATTAACCTGTACACTTTGGTACAATATCCTGTCATTTTGACCAGAACTCAAACTAATCAAACTACTGTTCACATGCCACACACTTCACATTAAACCATTGCAGGAATGCAATTCTCCTTCCAGGTACAGGGAGCAATRAAGTCACAACAATGCTTTACCTTTTCATAATCCTCCTCACAGAACTCAGCATCCTTCTGCATGATTTCATGCAGTCGAGCCTTCACTCTGTGCTGACAGCTGCTAAGTGAATCACTGTCACTGTCCAGGAGACCATTCATGTTGGCACTTTTCACCATCTGCACCAGGATGGGGGTCAGCTCTCCTTCCAGCGCCAGCAGACCCTAAAGCCACACCACACAGGACAAGATTTCAGGTCTGTGGAACCCAAGCAACAAAAATTTCTGGTAATTCGATGGCCAGAATTCAAGTAAAATATCAACTGTTCTTGAAGAGCAGTTTTACAGCAATATCCCTTCCAGTCAGAGATGACTCTGGCAAGCTTCTAGAGCTGCTCAAGCAAAGGACAGCTCTGCCTGCAGCAGCCCCCAGTTTGTCCAGGCCATTACTGAGAAGGCAACTCAGTTTGCCTGAAAATGTTGATACAGCAAAGGCTGAAGACCAGCTAAGTTGACCACAGGATTCCCCTCAGCTTTAGCTGAAGGTGAACCTGCCTTCTCACCAGTGTCCACCCCACACTGCACCARAGACACTTGGCTCCCCTTTTAAATTCAGCATGCAAGGAATAAGCCCCCTGGCTGGGCAGCCACCCCTGGAACATTCATTCTATAGGCAATACTCAGCAGCACATTTAGTGGGCTCTAGCATCAAGCACCATCAGTAGCCCATACATGACTCCTTCTCCAGTCAGAGCTGTCCTGTCCTGTCCTAGACAGGACACTAAAGATGACAGATATGTGCAGATACACCAGATATGCAGGACTGCCCCATACACCTGCTATTAGCACAGTGTACTGCAGTCCATCCAACAGAGAGGGAGAACATCCTAGTAAAGCTCCTTCCTTACGAACAGAGATTTTCCTTTAGAACAAGCATATTCTAAGAGTAATATAGTAGAACACACAGATGCCCAAAAGAGAAGGACCTTTGCAAAAGCTGCTGCTGTCATCTGAACTCTGCCCTCATCCGAGGCGTAGATCTTGAGATCATGGCGATAAGTGCTGTGCAACCTGAGCAAGCCACAGCCAGGGAAACCAGCATAATCACCTGCAACAGAGGACAACTCCAAATTCATATTCCGACACCTGCAAAACTATCAGCTCAATATACTGGTTTGGAAAAACAAATTTTATTGTAGTCACAAAGTTATGTAGAGAATGAATCACTTGCATAGGCAGCATTTGGGCTGCTCCAAAATAGACAGTTCCAACTAAACACAAGGGCTAGAAATGTAACAAAGGCTTTGCTTAACTTGGGAAAGTTCATTTTGAGTGAAAAAGTGAGCATTCACCAGTCAAGTCTGATGCTGCCCAAATTCTGCAGCAAACTCCACTGACCAGCCTGTAGCAGGAATACTAGTCTGAATATTCAGGTGCAGAATAGAGATGAACAAAAAAAAAACCAACTTCCTTCTGCTTGTTTCCTGCACAAGAGCAGGTCCTGCAGCCCTCAGAACGGGAGGGAGAGCTATTCAGCAGGGTACAGTTTCCAGAGCAGATCCTATACAGCTACAATGACATTGTGGCCAAAACTGCCAGTTTATTTCTCATGCCTGAGTCAACCACAGGAGTCAGAACAGTAATGGAGRACAGCAATTCATGCAGCTCTCAAATCTGACCTCCAGAGATAGGGTAAGGGTCATTATTTGCTGCTACCTGGAATCCCAGGGCAATTCTGTGCAGTATGGAGTCACATGGCATAACAAGGCAGGAACACTAGTACCAGCTCTAAGCTCACAATCAGAGAAAACAGCACCCTGACAGACATGGACAGGCACCAGCCACACGTTAGATGTATGTCTTGAGAAAGCTGCCAGGCATCAAATGCCACCCAGGAACACAGCACTTGGCTGCAAAGTAAGATTTCTCTCTCTTGATGAATGACCACATGGAGCAGAAGTCTCCAAAGCTGCTGTTGAGAGTGGCTCTCATTTAAGCAGGACAGTCACTTCCCTGTGGGCGGTTATCAGGTTGGTTGAGCATGACTCCTCACTGTGAATCCATGCAGACCACTCTCAGTCTCCTGCCTCTCCTTCATGCACCCCGGAATGATCTCCAGGATTGGCTCCTCCATTACTGTCCCAGGGACTGTGCTGAGGCTGGGCTGGCTGCAGCTGCCTGGGTCCTCCTTCTTGTCAGTTTGGAAGATGGGAGTGACACTTCTCCAGTCCTCAGGCATCTCCCCCAGTCCCCAGAGCCTTTCAAACRGAGTCTGCAGTGGCTTTGCAGGGACACCTGCCCATTCCCTTGGCACTGTGGGTCCAGCCCCTCAGGGCCCTTGGGCTCACGTATTTCCAGCTTGCTTAAAGAGTCCCTTGACCCAGTCCTCTTTCACCAAAGGTAGCTCTTCCTTATTCCAGAAGGGTATCTTTTCCAATCCCACTTAAACTTGCTTAATTGATTTGAAATTTAATTACTTAAATTTAATTAATTAAACATACAAGTGAAAGACAAGCATATCCAATACTGGGCTCACTGGATCAATCCAGTAGCAGTGTATAACTCCTGACTCAAAGGCAATCTCAGCCCTTTTTTTTTCCCTTTTGGCCCTGGTTCATTTGTGTGCATATTAAATGCTTTTCAGCATCACAGAATTATGGTGGAGAAAATATGGAGAATTATCTTCCTATTCTCCTGTCTCAGGCAGAATTATCTGTGCTCCAAGACAGATCTCTGTTCTCTRCATTTGATCTAAATTCCTTGTTAATCATCCATAAATTTTGTATTTGCTGCATCAGAATGTATCTRATTAGAACCACTTGTCTTTTTTGGATCCTGGCACATTATTTAAAGAAAGCTGTTGTGCTCCAAGACACACTGAAGTTTAACCACKGCAGCAGACCTCTCTGGTCAGTTTAGGCATCCTTGGGTGCAAAACCCCCCTGAATTAGTTATCCCTACCAGGCCAAGTCAAAAGAACCAAAAGCAATYGCAGAGGCTGCTCACAGGCACCTGAGCAGCCCCAGCCGGGCAAGGCAGCCTGGCAAGGCCGGGGCAGAAGGGGAGGGAGCAGGACAAAGCTCACCTTGGCCCCCGGGATACATGCAGCGAAAGGCTCGCCCCAGCTCCTCTGCCTGCACTCTTCCTGCTGGGGTCAGCTCTCCACCCCACTTCAGCACCAGGAGAAGGGACGGGGAGGACTCTCGGCGAGCTTCTAGGAGACAAACAGGCACTCACTACAGCACATCTCAGAGCTCAGTTTGCAGAGGGGGAGAAGGAACAGGTTGTCATCAACACCTTGCACAGTGCTCTCAACACAAGCCTGATCCAAAATCCCCAGGAAACAAATCCCCAGGTAGGAAATGCAGAGTCACTAGCCTTTGAAGGTATCAGCTGGTATTCAGTACAAGCCCTGTAGGACCAACCAGGGTGTACTGGCACCACTCCAACCCTCCCCTTGATGTGAGCAAAGSTAAGATATGGGTCACCCATTCTGCTTGCACGTCCAGAGGCCCAGTAAGGCCTATAAGGTAGCTGCACTCACACCTGAACTCTGGGCTTAAAGATCAGGATATCACCATCAGGTTTCTTTACCTTCATCTTCACTTGCAGCTTTTGGATGTCCATGAGGCAGATAGGTCAACTGAACCTTACGGTTAATGCCAGAAAAATGTCCATACCTGTCACAAGTGAGGGAGGAAAAAAACCCTGAAATAAAGCAAGTCTACTCAGCCTTTGCCAGAGCTCCCAGGCAGTTAACAGTAAAAATACAGCACAGGCAAGAGACCTTCTGCTGCAACACCCATAGCCATGGAACATGATTTTTGTCATCTCCCTGTGACCCAGCACACACCCCCACAAAAAGTCAAACAGCTCCCTCAAACAAAATTCAAAGATCCATTTCCTTGTTCTTCCACCAAGAGCATTCTGTGCTGTCATTCCTCACAGGGCTTTAATCTACATCTGCATCTTTAACAAGTGAATTAATGAGATCACAGAAAAAAGCACTCTGCCAGATGCTTTGAGAATAACCACGTCTCTAAAGAGCAGAAAGTGCAGAGGAGAGAACCACAGCAAGAAGTCCTCCTCTGTGCTCCAGAGACATGGCCTGAACATAGATGCTGGCTACGTGTGCCACAGCGAGCTGCACTCCTGAGAGGAACCCTGTTTTTCTTTCAAACAGGCCAATACCACCATATTTTTCTTTGACTGTACAAAACCTCAGAGAACACGAACATCTTTTCATGTTTTCCAAGCTGTTTTTTGCTAAATTTTTGGCATCAGGACARCATTATTTAAAACAAGCTTTGTTCCAAATATATCAAAATGCTTCCTATCAACACGGTCCCTACAGGACCCCGGTTCCTCTGCTGTAGCAAAGAAAACTGCAGGTTGTCTCAAGGTTGTTTAGCTGAACACCAGGCACACTTGGGACAAGGATCAGCAGGATTTTGATGTTGAGGAGAAAAGGTGAAGAGCACRGTACCTTTCATGTACAGTTACTGACAGGGCACAGAGGAGATCCCAGTCTCGGGGCACCAGCTGGCAGGACACCGGCAGCACAGTTTGTTTCCATTGTCACATGCCCTATTGCAACCCCCAGTGTCCCAAGACAGGAATGCTTACATCTCCAGGACACTCTTCAGCTGCTCCAGTTTGGATTTCCTCTCCTCGATTTCGCAGTCACTGTGGGCTCCCAGCTCCACCACGAGCTGCCGTGCAATGTCCAGCACTTCCTGGGGGAAAGCAGAGAGCGACTCAGCCTCAGCCTCAGCACTGAAATCCTGCAAGGCCTCCTGACAGCTTCACCCAGCACCAGCTCCATGCAGACGCTCCTCAAARGCACGTCATTCCCTAAGACACAGCTCAGGCAGGACGAACTTTCACACTGCAGTTTGCTTTATCTCCCTGCTGTGCAMCAGCCCCATTAAGAAGCAAGAAGGTTCCTCCAATTGCCCCACTCCCTAGACTGGACCCATCTGTCCCAGAGGCAACCCCAGCTGGTGGGCAAGCTCATCTCCATCCTCCAGTGTGCACATCAGCGAGCAGAAGTTTCTCTTTGTTCTCCTGCTGTCACCCAGCAGAGTGTGCACAGGCTGTGGAATGAGACAGGGAGCATCTGTGTGACAGGACTGTTACCCTTTTGGAGGTTTTCACCCTCCCTAAGAATTGCCTCGCACTAGGATCTGTATTACCTGCACGTCCCACACARTAACCCCACAATGTATTTCCTTACCTGTAGCTGCTCTGGTTTCTTCAGCTTCAACTTCCCTGTCTTGTAACCATCATATTTCTCAAATAATTCAAAGAACCTGAACAGACAACAAAGAATGCTGATCCATTTTCTGCTGTTTCAGTAAAAGGAGAATCATCCCTACATATGCATTCAGTCTCTGCCAGCAGCCTGCTGGCTCCTCCCTGTGCTTCAGAAATTCTGAAAAAACAAGTGTTTTTCAATATACAACCARGAAGCAGACACTGTCTTCCCATTTAGTGGGGCACTTCCCTTTTCAGCACCTAGCACAACTTCAGTCTCCCTTCCACTGTTCACAGAGAAGGTGCCAGGATGCTCGTGGGGAAAGGGAGCACTCTCAACTGGTCAGAAAGCATTTGCTTGGATGGCTCAGGAAAAAGTACTGTCTCCTACGCACTCAGTCCTCTGCTCCTGCTCTTGGTTTAGAGAACAGGCCCTCATCCCTACCCAGCAGCACAGCAGCCTCTTCTCTTGGCTCTTACCGGGGATGCTTCACTTCCATCTTCATCTTCTGCTTCGGGGTGCGATCTCCATGACGGATAACTGCAATGACACAGCGAAGCTCCATCCTGGGGAGACACAAAATAAAGCTGGCAAATGTGCTCCCCACACTCCAGAACTACCACCAGGAAATAGCTTCCCATTATTCAGTCCCATTCTTCTGACAGCTGCTTTCTGCAGCAGAGGCAGAATTTCTCCCAGACTAGAGCAGGCACAAGTGCCAAGGTTGCAGAGGCAGTCAGAGCTCTACAGACTCTACCAAGCTGTCTGGTTTCATACCAGTGTACAACTATGCTGAGGATCACAAAGAAACTTTTGCCTTTGGTCTTTAACCTTATGTGGTTGAAAACTACTAAGCCCAAAGGTATCAAATGAGGAGCTGCCAAGCACACAGTTAATATGAGTATTTCAGCTAAGTGTTTCCATCCATTTCACTGGTAGCTCAACACGCACTTTCTCCACGYAGCAGCCAGCTACAGCATTTGTCCTTATCTACTTCCTGTCCTGATGAAGGATTTGGAATCCTCTGAAAGCCTGTGAGCAGTTTCTGTGATTTCTGCAGTTACTGCTCATCCACATTCATCAAACCTACAACTAATCTCCAATATGTCACAACTTCCATATGCACGGCTAAGCCTTTCCACAGGCATTTCAGGGTTTCAAGCAGCAAGCAGATGGAGGATGCCATGCTGCTAGTGGTGTCAGGCTCTTGGACAGGGTTTTTGCACTTTGTCCTCCATGTAGCCATCACTGGCATTCTTTTGAGAGGATGGCAGATACTCACATGGTGCCTGAAGTTGTGGGGACAATTGGGATGTCTTCTGCCTCTGTTGGGATGGACCATGGGATATGAAATTGGGGACCCAATTCTCKCATGATTATATTTCTGGAAGAAATCAACATACAACACTCACAAATAAATCTATTCCCTTGGTTCTCCACCTCTCCTTAGTAGTCCTGCTGCAAGGTGTGAAGAGAGGCACGGAATTCCCCCTCCCTTTCATTGCAGAGGTACCAATCCCACTGTGGGCTAGGTACGGCACCCCAAAAGGGTACCAGTTTCCCTCATGCCACCAATACCACAACTGGGCTTAGCATGCAATGAAGAGTCCTGGAAGATACATCTAGCTATAGACAAAGACAGATAATGCCAATGCAGGCAGGAGCTCCAGGGGTTGAAAATAATTAACCCACTCCTCCCAGAGCTAAACTTTCACTTGCTGAACAAGTGACCCACAGGAACCACCTGCAGACTTCTCTGACATGSTGACCAGGACTCCACATTCATTTTACTTTGCTGTGAGTTACCTTACTGCCTTATTAAAACTCAAATTGTTCATACCCAAGAATTTTGGCACAGTCATCATAATACTTCATGGAGTTCTTGACAAAGCTGAAGCCGTTCACATCACAAACGAAAGAGTGGCCGTTGGCCCGCAGGAGGTCAAACCCACACACGGTTTGCTGCAGGAGGAAGCAGAGGATGTGGGACTTGGACACACAGTAAGGAAGCAGTGGGGGACAGCAGCTGCCCTGCAGCCATCCACAGATGCAGCCAACGCTGATACTGCAGCCATCCTCCACTCCATGCCCACCTCACAAGTGTGAACAAGTGTGAACACATGCCATTAGCCATTTACACCCTCACTGCTGCACCAAAGGCCCTACCCACAGCCCCAGATGAAGCCATCAGGGCCAACACCCAACTTCCCCGAGCTCTGAAGGCCTAAAACAGTGCAGCTCCTGGATATCCTGCTCTTCCTTTCAAATCCAACTGTTTTGAACCAGACTGACAAGCACAGACAAGAAGTGCTGCAGGCAGACACGCACCACTAAATGGAAAAGGCTACCAGGTAGAAAAGAGCCCAAATCTGCATAAGCCCAATTGCATGGGGTGCCAGCTGCAGTGGGGCAGGAACAAGGAGTCCAATGCTTCTTCCACTGGCACTGCTGAGCATGTCATAGAACCATCCTTAGACTCACATACTCACTCTACCTAACCGCAAAATAAAACACCAATTTGTACCAGAGGCATATTTAAAAAAGCAACAGCACAAACAAGCAAACAACAACAACAAAAAAAAAACCCAACCAAAAAAACCAAACCCCACAACAACAAAAAAAAAAAAACCTCAAATATAATTACCAAAATGCAAAAAGAAAAAAAATCCCAAGAAAGTAAGACCAAATTTTCCACATAAATAAAACAGGAAACAATGAAGACGGTAAGGAGCAGAGTCAGACAGAGAGCATGTTCAGGATCCAGTATCAAATGCTCAGATATATGTGGGACACCAGGCACCTGCTGGCACAGAGGGCATTTGCTGCAGGCCCTCTTGCCTTCCCCGTCACCTCTGCCCAGCAAACTGCCACAACCAGCAGCAACAACGGCTATCAGGCATGGAGGATTGACATGCCTGACATGTGCCAGGAGAAAAAAGTTTTAACACCACATCTGATGCAGATCAGACATTTATGCAGTTGTCCTTGCACAGGAAAGACGATACAGACCTTAAAGGCTACGCAGACTTTACGGGCAACAAGTTTCTCCATGGCAGTCAGCATGACTGGGTAACGAATTTCCTTCCCTTCRCTGTCGCGCTCCACTTTCCCATCCAAAGCAGGGGATTTGCGAGCCTCTGCATGGGCATAGTCCGGCCCCACAGTGTACACCTGCAAACAGAGTTACACCTGACACAGCCATCAAGACTAACTGCAGCTTCCAGAAGGTGTTTCTGCTGCAGACACAGAGGAGATCAGATTGTCTCACACATTCCTCCAGCTGTGATCTACAGAGCACCCACTCCCCACTTTGGGGCCCAAACTGCATAATCAGCATGTCMAAGCCTAAACACACATTCCAGAGCCTAAGCAGGACTAAGCAGAGCTGCTCAACCTTCAGCTCCTCCAGGCCTGGTGAAGGAAGGCACCATTGCAGGTGCCACTTTTCCTTACCTTTACATCGGTGCCATCTGTAGGCATGAACTCCTCATAAATGTAGGAGCCTGTCTTCCTCACACTGCTCTCTGGGGAGTACACACTGCTCCGACTGCCAATCTGAGAGACAGAATAAACACCTCAGAGAAGAGCACGGGGATTCTTTGCTTAGATGGAAGCAGAAAAGCAGAAATTTCATCATATGTTGCGAATTTAGGTGACCTAGTGGATTAGCATCTCAAGCCCCCCAGCTGTTACAGCACACTTATTTATGGAGGACAAAAGAGACTGTAAAATGAAGACAGCAGGTTTGTAATTTTCCTGCTTTTAAAGAGGAAAGAAGTTATTACAGACCACTGATTTGTCTCCAGTCACTTCAAGGATATGGAACAAAAAAAAGTGAACAAAAACCTACAAAGTAAGGAGCCTAACTAATATGCAAATGAAAATAAAGTATGATAGGTGATAATCCAACCAATTTAACTTTCTTCTAGGGCTATGACTGATCTTATCAACATTGAAGATAATGTTGTTTTCATTTTTAGTAAGGCTTTAGATAYAACCTCAAGTGGCATACCTGTGTCTTACCTAATGGAACAATCGTTTGAGGATTATTAATGGAAGATGTGTAACTGATTGGAAAAAAGGCACATCAYAGCTATAACTGTTCACTGACAAAGTGGGGAAAGTGAGTAAGGGCAAATTTCCTGTGGAATCTAGGAATAAATACTGCCTTTATCACATGTGCAAGTTACACTAAGCTGGGAAGAGCAAGAATGATGTTAAAGGACAGGAATGCAAGTTTTTTTTAAAAAACATCTTGATAAACCCAGGAGATAATCCGGAAAAAGCAGCATGCAATTCAGAAAGTGAAAGAGTGCTCCATGACTACTCAACAGGATACAGGTCACCAAGAAGATGGGGAAGGCAAAGTCAGCACTACAACTAAAATATGTCCTTCTTTGATTCCCAGGTAGAGCCATCCTCACCTTGCGGAAGAGCCGCTGGCTGCCCCCACCTGCTGCCGTTGGGTAGTAAATGTACACATTGTGGTCTTCAGCACTGACTGGCTTCTCTACAAACGGCTTTGGGAAAACAGCTCCATTTACCTCCACATGGTCCTCTCCTTCCACCAAGTTGCATTCTGAAGACAGAGCACAGCAGCAGCACATCAGGAAAGGTGAGACAGCCCTAGTGCAGAGCTGCAGCCCCTTCCAGACCCATCAGCCAGTTTTGCTGTTGGGACCTTTGTCCACAAAAAAAACCCAACAGACTTACGAGTCAGGCCTCTTCAAGGTGACTGTCAGTATCTGCTCTCTGCAGACTATCTTAAATAGCAGAGCCTGGGGAAATGGCTTTCAGCAGAGCTTGGACACTCACCTTCTGGTCTGTCAGGATCTCGATTGAGCACAGCATAGCGGGGCAGGTCTATTCCTTCTTCTTGAAGGATCCGATATACCTCACGCCTGTAAGGGATAGAAGCAGCGTCAGAAGAGTCTAGAAAGGTCCTCAGTACACATCAAGGAAAAGACTTCACTCCCACTGATGAAGAACAAGTTAAATGAACACCAAAAAGCATCGAGACAGACTGCAGATACCTCTCAGCATATGCTCTCTGGACAAGACCTACAAGTTACAGGGTTTGCCTCAGTCCTGCTCTGGATACAGATGCCCCAGAGTAAATCTCCACCTGGCCTAAACACGGATGCTCAATCATTAGAATGTGCCCAAAGCACAGCAGCACACCCAGCACACGCCACCTGCCCTGTCATGCCAAGGGGTCCAATGCCCAGGCCAGGCAGAAGCAGCAGAGCCTTCTTTCATTCAGTGTCAAGGGGCAAACCCAAATTCTTTCACTAGTTAGACTTTGGGATGCCTGCCAGCACCCATATAACACTGATCAGCACCACAAAGACAGGGGAGGAGGTTTAGGATCTATAGGAGCCCTATTCACATACAACCAAAGCAGCCTGGACAGAAGAGCTGAAGTGCTGTCTGTCRGTGCCTTCTACCAACAGATGACTGAGAAAGCTCATGTGTCTGACCAACACATATTCCACAGCTTCTGAGCCAGCCTTGCTCCCAATTTCTGACCCAGAGCCCCATCTCACCACTTGGCTCTCCCTCTCAGAGTATTCTTTTTGTTTTAGTCGTGACAGCCTTGTTCTGTGACAACTCTCCCACTTCCTACTTCCCAGACATCCCTTACAAGACTTTTGCAGCAGGAAACAAAACATGGGTTTTACATGATCTCAATGGTTTTTACCCTCAAAGTTATTCCCCTCCATGCTTTAGAGAAACCCCAAGAAGCCACTGCCAAGGTCCCCTTCCTCCTAACCTCACTCGCTTACTTGTGACCAGAAAAATGAAATCTGCGCAGTATGCTGAGAAGAATCAGAGGAAGAGGGAAGGGGCTTCAGTGGCTCACASACACCCACCTGTCCTGGATGTAATACTGCATGTCAAGGTCGTTGATCAGAAATGGTTTGCACAGCTTGGCGTAAGCAACCGCCTTATCCAGAGGGAATCCTGAAACACAGGGGGAGGGCAGAGGGGAAGGCTGAGAGGAAGCTCCCTTGCCCACAGCTCAAGCAGGTTAAGGCCATTCCAGATGCGTTACCTTTGGAGTGGAAGGAGATCAGGCAGTCACAAGAGGGCCAGTTCTCCACCGGTTCGTTCAGAATAACATCTTCCCCCATGATCACCACTGTGATGTACTCAAACTTGCACAGACGTTCCAGAATCTGTGTCATGGGCTTTGACTTTGACTTTTTGGTCATTGCACAAATTCCCACCACAATCTGCCGTTCCGGTGGCTGAGGAAAGACAGAGATCAGTTTTGTAGCATTTAATATAACACTGAATAGGGGTCAAAAGCAGTCAGGAGTTGGAGAGAATTTTTTCTGCATCCTGTTCCTGGAGGTTACAGGGGGAAAAAAAAAGTTTTCTTTCTGCAGAGACACCTTTTCCCTTTTCACAGGTGACAGTGTTTTCCTTAAAAATTTCCCTGGTGAAAAAGAAAGGTTTACATGAGTGTCAGGTTAGGTTTCTAGAACAAAGAAATCCACTAGTGTCCCCAAATCAGAACTGCAAACAAAAAGGCTGGATTTCCTAAGGCAGTGAGTATACAGCATGACGTAAYGTGTCCTGTCATAAATGCCACTGCTGTGTCCCTGCAGTCCCAGCTGCCTCAGCAGTAGCCATGCAAAACCTGGTCCAGACCCAGGGATTCTGCACAAGTGGTCAAGCCCAGAACTCTGGGACCTCCTTACCGACTCCTCCTCTTCATCATCTTCAAAGAAATCAGTTTCGTCTGTCTTCATGTTTGATCCCAGAAATTCTGTCTCATCATCTCTGGAACCAACAACAAACCTGGGAGTGGAGTTGTCTCCCTCACTGGAGGTCGTCAGGGACGACATTGCAGTTTCGGTGGCCGACCATCCCGCTCTGCAATGACAGCATGCAAAAGGGAGAAGGCTCAGCTGCAGGCGATCCCAGGAGCAGCTGGGCCATAGAAGCAACTGATGGTGGGGAGGGCAGGGACTCATTTGGCATGAGGGAGCCCAGGGATGGTGCTGCTCAGCACAAAAGGAGGGAGAAGGAAGACAGTCTCAGGGTGGGAGATCTGGAATTCTGGATCATTTTAGATAAGCAGCTCCATTTTGCAGTTAACCCCCTTGCATCGTGACAGTGTCATCACCAGCACTGAAATGTGTAACCCTTACAGTGATGCATGTCCAGCCGCTGCCTAAATCATGGACGGGGACACTCTTGCAGACTCATATGCCCAACAGCATCCACCGGGACTCCAGATGTCAGAATAAAGCTCGGGATAGTGACTTTCCAATCACCAATTTTCATCTTTTCTGCTCAAGAAGACCTACAGTAACAGAGAGAAGAGTTTGAGAGTGCAGGAGTTTTCAGGGAGGAGGAAAAAGGTAGAAGTCAACTCTATGGCAAGGAAAGAGGACACAGAACATCAGTTCAAACCCAACAGTTTGGGTTGCAGGTCGGGGTGTGTGGGTTTGCAAGCTGGCATAGAACCATAGAATACGTCAAATTGGAAAGGACCCATCAATATTGAGTCCAACTTCTGGCCTTGTACAGACACTCCAAGAATGCCACCACGTGCCTGAGAGCATTGTCTAAAGGCTTCTTGAACTCAGCCAGGCTAAGTGCTGTGACCACTTTCCCAGGGAATCTGTTCCTGCACTCAATCACCCTCTGGGGACCAATCCCTTTTCCTGAACCTTCCCCAACTCAGCACCAGCTGTTTCGTGTCCCTGGTCACAGAGAGCAGAGATGGGAGCTGCCCCTCGGCAAGATGTTGAAGACTGCAGTGAGGCTTCCCCTCAGCTTCCTCCAGGCAAAGTGCCCTCCGCCTCTGCTTATAGGGCCCCTCCAGACCCTTTTCCATCCTTGTGACCCTCCTCTGGAACCTCTCTAAGTTTAATGTGTTTTTAATATTGGAGTGACCAAAACTGCCCCAGCACTCAAGGTGAGACTGCACCAGGGCAAAGCAGAGTGGAACAATCACCTCCTTTGACCAGCTGCTGAATACATGCAATGAGTTAGAAATGCCAGGAAAGAAGCGTGTCCTCCACTGTCACCTCCAAGAGCAGCCCTGCCTGCCCCAGGAGGGACAGTCTGAACACACCACTCGACTGAGCTGCACATGCTRAGGACACAGCTGCTCACTGCTGACCTGAGCTTCACCCACACAAGTGTYAAGCAGCTTTCACCGTGCTTTTCCTAGCTATAAAATCAAAAACATTCCTGCCACATAAGTAAGGGCAAAGTTGAGGACAGGAACCTTGTGTTCTTAAGTACTTCCTAAAACTGGACATGAGACACTGTCTGCTGTTGCTTCTCATGTCCTCACATGATTTCCAGCATTCCCTAGACTGAGTTACTGCATTTCCTCCTCTTTTGTGATGCCTTCCCTTACAGCCAGGATACAGGTGCCAGTTCCCAGTCCTCCAGCGGCAACAGGAGGCACAGCCCAAAGCCATCAGTCTGCTACCAGCACAGCAACGAGGCACTTGAGAATCCCCTCACTGGCAACAGCAGCACAAGATTGCCTTAATCCAGCTGATCAGGGTGGGAAGTGCAAAAGACACAGAGCAATCTAGCTGCTTGTGAAATCCCCTCAGGAAATAAGGGTAGAACAACGCAGGGCTCCAGGCACAGTCCCAGAAAGAGCAGGAAATGTAAGAGGTAAGTGTTCAGAGAAAGGAGTGGAACAGAAGGACACCAGATAAGGACGCGCAGCTGCACCAGCAGGCACTGGTTGTACACAAGCCCTTCAGTGTGACAGCGGGGCACGAGCAGGGCAGCAGACCCCAACCCAACTGAAACACACGGGGGATACAGCAAGCCTGGACTTTGTACATACCACACCAAGGATCATCTCCTCCATCTCACTCCCATGCATCGAGCCCAATGCTGCTCTCCCAAAATCTTCCAAGCACAGTGCACAACTGGCACTGAAGCGTCTCAACCAGCAAAGTCAGAGCTGTACCTCACCATCACTGCTTGCTGCTRGTGGGATGAACAGCACTGGCAGAGAGGCATTTGCTCCATATAACCCTGCTATCCCCAGAAGAAGGSAACAGTAGGATTCCCAACATGCTCAGGAACCATTTTCATGCCTATGTCCTATTGCCTCATCACACCAATGCAGAATGAGCCCTTAGCACATACACTATCAGCTTGAGGGCTGATAATTTAATGAAGTGAACAAACCATGCAGAAGGAGGAGGCTTTTCTCCAACCCCTTACTCTCCCCTCCCTCCTCGAAAAAAAAAAACAGATCAAACAGCAAGAAAACCTTTGCCCTAAGAACTAAGAAAGCAACAACTTCTCTGTATTCTTGCTCCTATCMCAGCGAAAAATCCCCTTCCTTCCTTCCTCAAGGCAATGACACACCATACTCAAACCAGGTAAAAACTCAGAGCCTACTGAAGCTGACAGCCACTGATAGACCAGGCATATCCGTGGTGTTGATAAGGAAAACCTCATGATTTCAAGTGTAGGGAGAGGGTTAACCAAAACCATTTTCTTAAAAGTTTTTCTTAAAAACAGATCCCTTACCTTAGACTTATACCAAGCAACTAGACTCTTGATGAAACAAGGACTTTTAGATCCAGGTGTAACTAAAAACTCAGACTGTTGCTCTTAAATGGACACAGGCAAGTGAAGCTCTGTTCTGGTAAATAAGGACAGACACAGGAAGTTTGCCCACCACAGCTGGGCCAGCTCTAGTGCTGAACTGTCATGGGGCTGATATGTCAGGAGGGTAGCAATTGCCATTACAGAACCCTTGCAGGCTCCTGCATGACATCCAGCCCATACCTTTTCACACCAACCACAGCGTGCTTATGGCTCTGTTCCTGCTGGTGAGCTAACTGCTCATGGAGAGCACACATYTAGACTGTTCCCAGTTGCTGAGAGTGCTGTGGGCCTGAACTCTTACTGATCACAGCAAGAAAACTTAGTGTTAATGCTGCTGGGTTGTCCAAGAGAGATAAGCATTAATGTGGCTCTGGCATAGGCACACAGAAAGTAAAGATGATTGTGGCTTTGAGACAGAATATTCAGGCTTGGTAGTCCTGTCACAGATACATGAGTTAGTACATGCCAGCCTGCTGCACTTCCAAGAAGGGCAGCTCTGATCTGCTGCACAGTCATACCAAAGGTTACCGTAATCACCCAACAGYAATCACAATCTGCTGACACCCAACCCTAAATGGAGCCATAGACCTTGCCTCTGATGCCCTGGGGCTGAGTCAGCTCCCGACTGCCCTGTATCAGTAATAAGGAATCAGATAGTAAATTGTTTTCCGGTTCCCCAGCAGATCATTCACTGCTGTTCAGATAAGGGTGCTCACAAAGTRAAGAAATTCTCTGTGCCCTGCTTCTGAAGTACCAAACACTTAAGAGAGAAGGTGTAACTAGCTCTAGTMTTAACTTTGTACTCCATGTGGCATTAATCAACTAATGTCAGGGTKTGGGCATCAGGGTTTTGCTTTATTTTGGTTTCCAAACACCTGCAGATGCAGGTGCAGTCTCTAGTGCTGGGCTGACAGACAAGGACATGGCTCATCATATTGCCAGTGGCACCAATTTGTGTTACTCCAGCATACKGAAGGCCTTGAAGGATGATCCATGTTAGCAACTCACAGCCTAGCCAAGCCAGGTCAAGTACCTGCAGGACCATGACCTTCGAGAATACACAGAGCTGGCATTTTAAAGCACTAATGCTAGCAATATCTTGTAGARCTACCTGAAACTATTGACAGCCCTAAAATCAACCAATCAACCAATCCAAAAAACCCTACCCTGAAAGCTTGGGCGCTGAGCAGTGAAGCACCTTTGCACACATGACCAGCGACACCTCTGCAAACAGAGTTTCATTGTCACAAGGCCTGTTTGCATTAAGGTTAATTCCATACTTAGAAAAGGTGAAAGCTGTGCTCTTATCATGGGCACTTAATTGCTTCAGAACAGAAAAAAACCACTTATTCTAGGGTTAATAATTAAAGCTATTAGGATATGGCAAATCAAAGAAATCCCTCTGTTCTGGTAACGCAGGCATTCGAGGTATTGCCAGCCAGGAAGCTGAAG